AAAAAATGTTGTTCATATCAGACCATAATATAAAATTTTTCCATGGAAATAGATATAAAGAAATCACACACTGAAAAAAAAAGTTTTTTGTTAGATATTATACGATATTGCTATTATAATGATACGCACGTTGCTATTTAAAAGATAGTGAGGTTAGGAAACCTGTGTACTAACGGAAGAAATTATAAACTAGTAAAATTATGCACATAATAATGTCAATTGTAGCTTATTTAAAAAAATGTGATAAAATTTATGGAATTGGAATACGATGTGTTATTTAATGATAAAACTGTGATAGTAACGTCCAAATTTTTGTTAAATTTATATGCTATGAAATAATTAAGAATGATAGCTGTTAGCATAAACTTTAAGCGTTTAAGAAAATAATGCATCAGTCTACTGAACAGTATAGAATATTTTATTGAAATGAAATCAAAAGGTTTTAATTGATGTTTGTGTCAATACTTGTCATATGGACAAATATTTAACTATTTGGTGTCTAGTGCGGTAAACATCATATCAAATACATCGCTTACAGAATCAGTACCGATAAGCGAAACCAATTTAACACCGGTTTATTTGTAACCAACACTAATAAAATATTTGTGTCAATTGGTGTGATTTTGTTGAATGAAACAGTTTTGCATAGGACTAAAAATAGAAGAAATCGAATGTGTGCTAAAAATATTTGTTGATCTGTCAAAGCTTTATAGCATCATTGTATCATTGTTACAAATATTTTTCAGTGATATGGGGTGTGATAGTGAGCACAGAATAATTGAATGGTTATAAATATGTTCGATTAATGCTTAAAATAATCTTTCTGTATCACACAAATAAAAATATCGGACAATTTCCCCAACTGATTGCGCGATGTGACACGAATAATAGGGTTGTAGCACGATGCGGCAATTAATGTCACATTTCACTGAAATGAATTGGCATTTGTGTAAAAAACTCAACAATAACAAGAGCAACAATAACAACATTGACAATCTCGTTAATAGTACTTCCAATTGTCTGATTCTATCGCTTCAATATTTTTCACCGTGATACACTAGTTTTTGTTTCGTTTACAAATGTCAGTTTGAGTGACGTTCTAAAGGATAAGTAAATTTTTTTTTAGTTAAATTTTAAATTGTCTGTTTTTAATATTCCTTTATTCAAAAAATATTGTTTTTTCTTCTAGAATATTAATTTTACATAGACTGGTAAAATGATGATGATTATTGACTTGCTTATTTTCTAAGAAAAAGTAAAAGCTCATAATTTATAAAGTAAAGCAATTTCACGTATTAATTTTTAAAATAAGAATTTAACATTAATATTGTACAGGATAAATCAGATTTTAAGGATACATCAAATTTTAAAGGCTAAGTAAAATTTGGTAAGTTAAAAATTTATGTTCAAAAATTAAAATCTAAAGTTATAAATAGTTCAAAGATTAACGTATTTACAACCTCGGATGGTATTTCGAATTCTGAACAATTATAATCATAATTTAATCTTTATTTCCTTATTGACGGTTTAATTAGCAAATTCTTCAACTTAATTTTAGAAAATCCTTCATTTACTATTAATTATCCTTCATTACTATTAATTATCAAATATTTTAGAAGAAAATTTAGAATTTATTCAAGAAATTTTACAACTTACGATTACAAAAAGTACGATATTACTATTGTAAAAAGTAAGAGATTAAAATTTCCAGTGCTGCCTCTGTATCTTTCCAATAGAACTATAGCAAATTTTACAATAGTTGAATTGGAATGTTTCTCATTTAGTGTGAGTGATGGCCGTGCACAGCGCTTGACTCCGAGTTTATGTTAATGTTGAAGGGCACGGGTACTAGTTTATCTCGGATCGCTAGAGGGAGAATTTCTGGCTGCCAACAAAGAGTTCTGGGTTCGATTCCTGGGGCTCACTAAAGTTAGCCCCCCAAAAAAATTTTTTTTTTATTTTTTAACTTTTTTTTTATTATATCGTTAGTTCGTTATTTGTTCTTCAAAAGTTAATTTCTAATGTATATACATCAAATTTGTGAGAATATTACAAATTGATAGAAAATAGCAAATTTTTTATTTTATGCTACTACCACCCCGTCCAGGGCTACTAACACAGCGCCGGGGAGGGAGGAAGTGAGTTGGACCGAAATCACCGCTGTCCATCTTACAGCGGTTCTTAAGTAAAAAATAAACAAAGTGAAATGAGAACAAACGTTTTTCATACATGAACAATCATAAACAGAGGTTTATTGACCCGTATTGCTAAAAAAATATTAATAAATGCGATAGGGGGGCTAACTTTAGGGCAAATATTTGAAAGATTTTTTTTTAAATAAATAAATCGAGAACAAACGAATGCTTATAGCGAACAATAAAGAACAAATAACGAACTAACGATGTAATAAAAAAAAAGTTAAAAAATAAAAAAAAAAATTTTTTTGGGGGGCTAACTTTAGTGAGCCGATTCCCGGATAGGACGAAAATTCCGATTTCTTTTTTCGGTTACTGTATAGGTACCAATTAGTCCAACCTCCTATCTCTCTCCTTCCCTAAAACTTCTTTTAAAAAAACCGACTCAATTTTGACAATAGTTGACTTGTAAAATTACAAACACATATTGTATAATTTGCTCTATTTTATTCGACTTTTCAAGTTTCTTGCTAGCCTTGTCTGTTGGATAAAATTTACAATAGTAGATCGTAAAAATTACTAAATGAGAAGTATAGTCTACCGTTACTATTTAATTCAATAAGAATTACAATAGTGAAATAGTAAAAATTCCTTCAATTTTCTTTCCGTGTAGATGAAAAAATTTACTTAGAGGAAAAATACTTTTTTTCAATGCGGTATCTATGTTTAGTAGTACACTATATACAGTATTATATAGTACAAAGCCGATTCTATTTTATATGCAACCCCTGTTGCATGGTTACGATGTACTCCTTGGTGGGAGTACATATACTTTTGCGCTCATTTTATTTTTGCCAACACCAACTTTGTTCTTGAAACTCACGGAGAGTGTTAAAAGTCGCGTCAGGGGTGCAATAAGTCAAAGGGTAAAGAGAATGAGGGATGAATGGTACTTATGGACATTGGTAAATCGTCCAACAACTGTGTAAGCCCTTTTGACCCTATACTATTCATCAGTTCATACGTCTATATAAATATATCTATACAGATATAAATTATTATCTTTATCGATCAATTTTTTTCCGATGCGTTACTACTTCTGCCTGAATATGTAGATGAAAAAAAAAAAACACACACACACACACAGATGTTCCTCTTGTCCAAAATATGTTCTAGTTCTATTTAATACTCGTAGTCCAGATATATTTTTGGATAAGTATATTCCGTGAGTGCAGATGCGACATATTCATACATATTTTATGTCCTTGAATTTATCGAAAAAATATCGCAGTCATTTCGAGACAGGACATAATTATTTTCTCAACTCAAATAGTGAATACTTATCTCAAGAACATGAATATTTATCACTTGAAAATATTAAATTTTACAAACTAGAAATAATATAAATAAAATACACCCAAGACCGGACTCGAACTCTGATTGGACCGTGTTCTCAAAGGAGAGTCGTACCACTTCCCCACCAGATATCTCTTGCGTAGGTAAATTTAATTTTTAAGTTCGAAATATTTGATGTTTAAATGAAATAATGAAAAAATATTGATTGAAAAATAATTTCACTACATTTAATTATTTGAAATTTTTGAATGGATGTTTAATTTCAAAAAAATAATTTTCTTAAATTAATATATTCGTAGTTTTCTTAAAAATGTCTCTGAGCCGATATCCGTTTCTTTTCTGTGTAAGTCTTTCAAAAAAATATTTAAGATTAATTTCGAATTATAAAAATATCGACTTTTAAAATAAAAGAACCTATGTACAATAGTCGGTAAATTCATAATTGTAAAGTAGATAACAGCAAAATAATATCATTTAATCAGCAATTCCGGGTTGTGTTGTTAAATGCGCTACCTTCAGCTTTGTTAAGAAATATCGCTCTAATAGCTATTTAGATTGCTCATAATTACAACAGTAGCGGTTAACTATACAGGATACTGTTGTATTGTTATTGTTATCTATACTGCACAGTTGCAATATCAAGGAATAAAGTGGTTTCAAGGCAAATATTTACTTTAAATTTAATTTTGATATTAGAAGCTCAATTTCATCGAAGTTTCAGATTGATAAAGTCGATAATTCCCTGATTATTTATCAATTACTTTCTAAAAATTTAATTATTGCAGAATGAAAAGTATGTCAGTAAATTTATCTAATTATTTTTTCTTAAATAACATTCTAAATTATAGAGACTTTTTAATAAAATACACCGAGAAATTTATCGCAGTATCAACATGCATGAAAACAGTCAAAATTAGTAGAAGTCACGAAATTTAGCTACGAAGCGCAGTCTGAAAAATACTGACACGAAAGGTTAAGTTAATGTACTTCATATCTATGATACATCATTATATAAGTTGTAATGGGCTTCTAAAATTTTTAACTTTGACATTTTTATAATATAAATCGTTTTACTTATAATCAGTTTTCATATTCAAAGTATTTTTTTTAAAATATGTAATCCAAAAGTGTATACAGCAAAAATTTATTGTAAAATCTAAAAAAAATGAACTTCTTGACATGGTAGCGTCTCGCTCCAAGTAGAAATCAAAGTTTTACATTTCATATTTATTTTTGTACCAAAATTTAGTAGGCGCCTGAATATTATATTATATTATACGTCTCGTTCTCGATGATAACTTGTAGTAGTATTGATTATGTGTAAACCTCACAACGTTTAAAGTTTAAATTTGAAAAGGTTTTGGCGCGCTGTGCGCCATCTATAAGCTATACTTATCTGTTACCGACTGTTCCTCCTCATATTTTTTCGTTGTGCGTAAAGCAAACACGTTTACGAGTATCATAAAAATTAATTAATTAATTAAAATTCAACAATCCGACTATTCAACGATGAAGAAGAGGAAACACTCAAGATCATCATCAAGGGAAATACACAAGAGACATAGAAGTCGAGACCGATCTGATGAAAGTTTGCAAGTAATGCAAAACCAAATAGATAACCTCACTAATATAGTGAGTACACTGGTGACCACAATTAGTAATAATAATAAAAAATATCTACCAGAGAAAGAGAATTTACCTCCGTCTGAAAAAAATCCTGATACTGGTGAGTAAAAAATTTATAGCTTAAAATATTCCACACGAATATTTAAGCATAGCCAAAATATCTACACGATATTTGGCTGGTCATACTCTCGACTGCGTTCAACAAGAACAAATTAAGTCTTGAGTTGCACAATAAGTGCGGGCCTGTCAATAAGACAAAACAATTCATCTCTTGTAGATTATAATTCTTATTGAAAGAATTATTTTACTAATTTATTTTTCCTTTCTCTGTCCTCTGTTCGCATATACAGCTCCAGTGAACACAAGTGACGTTGTCACTCCAAACTCTGATAAAGAACAGGACAACAGCGAAACTGTAGACCCGACAGAGAAAACTGACAGCAGTGAGAAGTTAGAGACTACAAAAGACTCAGCGGTCAAGGAGGAAATTTTAAAGATTTTAGGTGATGACTCCAACTCGTCAAAACAGCTAAAGATCGACTTCCAACCTGAATTAGTCACTACATGGACTAAATGGACACAGGAAGGACTACCGGAGAAAACAAAGGAATCAATCCTAGAACTTTATCCTAGGAAAGGGGTTTTGTTTACAGAAGCCCCTAAAGTTAACCTAGAAGTCGTGTCAGTGCTGTCAGAAATTGCTGTCAAGAAGGACAAGCACTTCCTCGAAACTCAAAACACTGTAGGCTCCGCATTATCTGCGCTAGGAGCAGCAATATCGATGGTTTTAAATAGAGAGTCAGACGAAATTGATCAAGAGAAATTTCTCGAATATTTGTCTCATACGGGACAACTACTGACGGACGTATTCTTTCAACAGTCCGTTGCCAGGAAGTCATTTATTACACCTCTGCTTTATAAGACTATAAAACCAGCGATAGACGCCTCTAAGACAGATGAATGGCTCTATGGGAAAAATTTCACAGAGCAAGTGAAAGAGGCTAAAACCATAGAAAAGACTATAGCGGGCATAAAGGCCGCAGATAAACAAGCAACAAAATCAACCTGGTCAAAAAACAAGGATTAGGGAAACGGGAAGAACCCACCTGCGAAGTACAAGCAGGTGGGTCAATTCCTAAAGAAACCAACGATCAAATTCAGGAGCCGCTCGCAGAATACCTCTTAGAGCACATCACAGAGTTCGTCGAGACAATACACCAAATCGAAGAGCCAGTACACGTCGAGGAAATAACTGACCAGGTAATTGCAGGTAGACTGAAGTTTTTTGTCCAAGAATGGGCAAAAATTACTTCAGATCAATTTATTTTAAATTGTTTGAGGGGATACCAAATACCTTTTAAAGAGCCACCATACCAAGATACTCCACCACCAGAGTATCATGGCAATGACAAAGATTTAGAAATTACCAAATCCGAAATCAATAAACTCTTAAAAATAGGAGCGATCGAGCCATGTGAACCTACACCTGGACAATTTCTTTCCTCATTCTTTACAATTCCTAAACCAGATGGATCATATAGGTTTATTATAAATCTCAAAAATTTAAATAAATTTATAGATTTGGTCCACTTTAAAATGGAGGACATTCGAGCAGCAAAACAGCTAGTTATGCTCAATGCCTACCTAGGTTCCATGGATCTTAAAGACGCCTTTTATATGATCCCAATTCATAAGAATTTTAAAAAATACTTAAGATTTCTATTTTTAGGCAAGTTATTTCAATTCACTTGTCTTCAATGTGGATTATGTATAAGTCCGTACATCTTTACCAAGATTATGAAGCCGGTAATGAATTATCTCAGGCGTCAGGGAATATTACTTATAATATATCTAGACGATATCTTGATCATGGATCTATTATATGAACGATGTTTACGGAATATTAATAAAGTAATTAAAATCTTGGAAAGATTGGGCCTAATTATAAATTATAATAAAAGCTCACTTATACCTCAAAACAAATGTAAATATTTAGGATTTAATATTAACACAAAATATTTAACTTTAGAACTAACAGATAAAAAGAAAAATCAAATAATATCTTTACTTAGAAACTTAAAAATCGGAAATCGGTATAAGATACGCGAAATAGCTCATATATTGGGTGTTTTAGTAGCAGCATGTCCGGCGGTAGCTTATGGTCCAGTTTATCGCAAGAGATTAGAGCGAGAAAAATTTCTTGCTCTAACCATAAATGGCAATAATTATGAAGCAAACATGTTGGTAAAGGAAGAGCTAGCAGAAGATATTACCTGGTGGATTCAAAATGCTCAGATTGGAATAAATCCAATCAGAACTCAACAATTCACACTAGAGATATTTTCAGACTCCTCCTTAAAGGGTTGGGGTGCACACTGTGAGAAAAAAAGTGTATTCGGGTTTTGGAGCCACGAAGAAAGAAGACACCACATAAATTATTTAGAGCTGCTAGCTGCTTCCTTTGCATTAAAGTGTTTCGCTTCACACTTATCAGGGAAAGAAATATTGTTACGATTAGACAACACTACTGCCATAGCATATGTAAATAAAATGGGTGGGATACAGTTTCCTCACTTGAGCGAACTGGTGCGAAAAATTTGGTTATGGTGCGAGGATAGGACATTCTGGGTTGTCGCGTCATACATACCATCAAAAGAGGACGTGGAAGCAGATGCCGCTTCCAGAATCACAAACATGGATACGGAGTGGGAGTTATCCCATAAACATTTTAATAAGATCCAGAAGAAGTTTGGTCCATTTACAATAGACCTCTTTGCATCACGAATAAATAAAAAGTGCAAAACATTTTGCTCTAGATTTGCAGATCCAGAGGCATCATTCGTAGATGCATTTACGATTCTATGGAATAATAATAAAAATTTCTACGCGTTTCCCCCATTTTCTCTTATTTTAAAGGCTCTAAGAAAAATAATTATAGATAGAGCAGAGGGTGTAATGATTGTACCAGAGTGGTCAACACAACCTTGGTATCCTCTCTTCAATTCTCTTCTTATTGAACCCCCTTTGATACTGGAGCCTAACGATAATTTACTAATTTCTCCTTGCAGGTCGAAAAAACACCCACTAGCATCCAATCTCTCTCTACTAGTGGGGAAATTATCATGGAGAGCTTTATCAGGAGGGGATTAAGCCAGAATACAGCAGAAGTCATGTTTAAATCGCTCAGTCCAGCTACTAAGAAACAATACCAAGGCTCATTAAAACTGTGGTCTCAATTTTCTATTGAAAATAAGATTGACACGTTTAACGCAAGTTCAACTGATGTCATATCCTTTTTAACCAAAAGATGGGAAGACGGCACTAATTATAGTACACTAAATACATCTAGGGCAGCCGTATCTTTAATATCGATACAAAAAATCTCTGAGGATGGCCTGATTTCAAGATTTATGAAAGGTGTATATAAACAAAAGCTTCCAACTCCAAAATACGACTGCACATGGGATACAATCCCAGTATTGAAGTATCTCGAGTCACTTCATCCACTTAACAGCTTGACTACTAAGGAAATTGGAGAAAAAGTAGCCACTCTGTTAGCGCCCATACATTACAGACCCTAACATTAATTGATATTAATAACATTAAATATTCAAAATCAGGGGTCACTATAAAAATTCTAGAGACAATTAAAACATCGAAACCAGGAGCGTTTCAACCAGAACTAGTATTTCCTTATTTTAAAAATAAACCTGGCTTATGCATGGCATCAATAATTAAAGAATACATAGAGTATACAAAGGACTTAAGAGCCCCAGATAATTCAAGACTATTAATATCTACAATCAAACCGCACGGACCAGTTTCGGCACAAACTCTAGGACATTGGATTAAGGGACTGCTAGGAAAAGCAGGAACTGACACTAAACAATTCTCAGCTTACAGCACACGGCATGCGGCAGTGTCGTCAGCTCACAAGGTTGGAGTCAACATTGACACCATTCGCCGTACAGCAGGATGGACAGAAAGATCAAAGATGTTCGCAAAGTTTTATAATAAACTGATTCGTGAGTCGAAAGAGCAGTTTGTACGTGCAATTATTAACAATAAAAATTAATATGGCCAGAAGATAGTAATTGTTGTAACTAAGGAAATAAAATAATAAGAATAACTAAGATTGCAAGTTATTTACGCTAAACATCTACAAGTTATCATCGAGAACGAGACGTGTAATATAATTGTATGATCAAACGAGCCCGCCGAAGGCGGGCGAAGTTCGATCGAAATTATGTTACACGTCTCGTTCGAAGATGATCAGTCCCTCCCTACAGAATCCCAACTATATACCCATGATCATCTTCCTTTCTTGGCATCTTTTAGCATTACCAAGCACGTTATTCTTATTAACAAACGAGGAATCTCTGAACAATATGAGGAGGAACAGTCGGTAACAGATAAGTATAGCTTATAGATGGCGCACAGCGCGCCAAAACCTTTTCAAATTTAAACTCTAAACGTTGAGATGTTTACACATAATCAGTAGTACTACTACAAGTTATCATCTTCGAACGAGACGTGTAACATAATTTCGATCGAACTTCGCCCGCCTTCGGCGGGCTCGTTTGATCGTACAATAGAGTTTGCATATATTTTCATGCTTGTGATATATTCGACCAATCACATCACGAATAAATTGATGTCACATACATTTCATCTCAATTTTATTATAGGATCATTAGTCAATTTTCCCTGTATTTTGATAAATTTATCACTAGGAAGGTTTTTGTAGGATGTTTATTTTTCCTGCTTAATCAAAATATTGACTATTGCTATTTAGAAGGAATAATATTTCAATAATTGTAAATTTACTTCGTTAGACAACATGATATGGCCATGTACAGCCAATTTTCATATCCGATCACATATGATAATATCATACATGCCAGTATCTGATAATAAGCAATGTCAAAAAATTTTTTCACGGGAAGCGAAAATTGATTATTTTCGATTTTTAAATAAAAATTGTCCACCAGTGCTCCACAGTGTAAATTTTAATTTTTCTACTAACTTCGAATATTTTTATACCTGAACTATTTAATGGTGCTAGAAAATCGGACGCGCTTTGCGCGCTTTTGTCAAAATGATTATTATCGACAATTTAATTAATCAATATTTTTACAAATTTTACTCATTAATATTTAACCGTTGCTATGATAACCATTGCCAAAAAAGGTCACCATAAAACGATAACAATAAAAACGTTAGATCAACTTTTTAATAAAAGTTATAATTATAATTATTTTCATGGAAAAAATTCGCCATAGCAACGGTTACTACGTCAACGGTTACTATGGTGACGGTTACCATAGCAATGGTTACTATGACGACGATTACCATAGTAATGGTTACTATGGCAACGGTTACCATGGCAACGAAAAGCGACAACAATAAAAACGTCACATCAACTTTTTACTAAAGGATAAAATCAGTTTCGCTATCAAACCCACACATCTCTCTCGTATTAACGAATAGTGTATTAATAACTTGCATGTAATTTGTCCCTGAAAGCATAAATTGATACGAAACACACAAGGGTCAAAACTTTTATTTTAAGATTTACCGGATAAGCTTATCACGAATTTCTCAAGGACTTTTTCGTTAATATCATATGATATTGTGATGTTATACCCTTACCTAGTTGTTTCATATATTTTTATTTTTTTTGGGGGTTTTTTCATCGACTAGCCGTTTTTTCCCAAGTTGGATGTAGGATGTAATTCCCCGTAGAAATGGAAGTTGTTTCAGCTAACTCTGAGGTCACGTAGACGACCTAACTGTTGTGACACAACCAAGTTCCTCACGTCCCCAACGTGTTTTATGCCAGGAGTTACGTCCTGCGAAACTTGGTAAAGTATAAGGAATAGAAAAGGATAACGCACAACAAAAAATAAAATAAAATCCATAAGCTGCGTGTGAGCTAAAATCTTTTACCTCAATTTCTCATTTTTCTCGGATTTTTTAATTTTTTTTCTTTTCTATATTCCCGTCTTTTATAAATCCTTAGAAACGCCTGACTTTCAGTTTGATTCTTAGGCATCTACCGCAGCAACGCATCCTTTCAATCGAGTTCTTATCACCTCATACTTTTCCTTCAGCAATATATATTTGCTATAGCAGAATGTTCCCGGGCAGAGTAAAGAGCTATACGCAATTCTTTCATCTCTCGGAGCTTTACTTCATTGTCAACGTTCGTTCTCTTGTCGCCGTTTTTCTTTATTGTACTTCCCAGTATTGCTTTTATTCTTCTTTTACATTCTTTCTTCCTTTCTTTCTCTTTATATTTATACTTTTATTTTTATTTTTATTTTCTTTGTGTGTGTTACTTTGTTTCTCGTTATTTGTTTTCCTGAAGCACTGTGTGAATTCTTCAGTCTTAAAACTTGTTTAACCAGAAATTAAATGATCCTTTATAAACTAAAACAAATAACGAAAAAAGGTATCATGTTCCCTCCTATCAGCTGTGATATACTACACAGCACAGTACAAAAGTGCTCTCGAAAAAAAAAGCAGAGATAACCACTAAAATAAACAAGTGAAAACTGATGAACAGTAGTTTTTATCAAATAAATTGGCTTACAGATAAGAAATTTATAGCACTGGTTCGTCACTGTAGATGTGAATCTACACAGACCCTGTCCCATTAATAAATCATTCAATTTTCACGTTTTCACATATTTCGTTCACTCTGTTTGCGATATCAGAGACCTGCACTCGTGTTACTTGGTTTAAATCCGATCATTCTGTGTAATGATAGTTTAATGAGCATGACACATTGGAATATTAAGCTTTGCGTGAATTAATAATGATCTAGATTCAAAAATCCCCACTCATGCTTGAAACTCACCGAATATCGTCAATTATTAGTAAATAATACAATACCTAGAGCGTACATGTAATGTAAATCGTGAATGTGCGTGTTCTGCAAAATAATAATCCTCTTAATGTTACTTGGATATTCGTGCATGGATTGATACGATTATGAGGGAAAAGGAATAATAAAATATTATCGAATTCGATAGATCAAAAACTACCCGGGATGTTTTCAAGGAATAATTGATTGGATTTTAGTACAGTTTAAAAGCTCGTTTGAACGTTCAAATGGGTTACCAGTTGATAAGTTATTAACGAGTTTTTAAGTGCTGCCAAATGGGCATCCTTGCATGAAAATTTTATTATGACCATATGAAGAATTATTTTTGGTTTTTTGATTATTCTCTGGAGATTGAATGGAAAATTATTGTTGTGATTATTACGCATGAAGTAACGCTAGTTAGGTTGATTGAAGCGCTTACTGGAGTTTTAGCAAAAGCGCTTTTATAAGTTGATGAAAAAAAAATGAAAATATGGGATGCTTAATCTCTGTAAAGTCGAATTATGTAAACAGTATGAATATTTTTTTTAATCCTTGAATTTGAAGATTAAATTTTTGAAATAATATTTTTGTTTTAAAATATTGCGCGCTTGTAAACTGACTAATTATTTTCGAATTAGTGAATTTAAACTATTGGATGAAAAAATGATCTAGTTAAAACAGTATATTTTTTTCATACAAAAAGATCTATTTTTGTTTTATTCTAAGTCGAAAATTTTTACTCATAATATTCTGAATAATTAAGAGGTTAGGAATAATTTTATTTACGGCGTATTAATATGATAAAATGGATCTTTCAAGTTAAATTTAGTATCATTGGAAAGGTTCTTAGCCTCAATTTCTTCTCTTTTAATAACAAATATTTTTTTTTCTCTAACAAGACTTGATATTCTTTTCAGCGATCATTAATTTATGATGATAAGTTTTCGAAATAGCTCTAAATAGATTTGAATTTCGCGGTAAATTTAATTTGTTGTTTTGTTTTGTACATGTAGATGTGCTAATATGTCAAAAATTAATCCATATAATTGAAAAAATAAGGATTTTTATAGTTAAGTTTGATGTCATCAAAAGGTATTGACGTTAATTTGTGCATTTAGAGGCACTGAAATTTCACAATTTTATATATTTTTTGGTGTTCAATTTTAATGTTGTTTTTAGAGAACCTTTGAATAGTTTGTACGTTCGATACTTTTGCTCCGTCAAATTATGCATTAAATAATTGGCAAGTACCGACTTATTTAAAAAATGTCGTCTTTCAAATCCAAATGCCAGATTATTTGTTTTTAAAATATATTTTCCTGTCAAAGGCTGGCAATAGCCGAATCGGCTCGGTGCTTACATTTCGAAAGAGTAGGACCTGGGTTCGATCCCGGCGCGCACCAATATTTTTCAGTGATTATAAATAAAGAATATGTGCGTTACACGCCAGCCTCTGCACCGACTGAGTTTTCTGTGGTTTTCCCTTATAGCTATGAAGGTAAAAATGTCATTATAGAAGTACCTCTATACTATTTAAGGTCGTAATGCAAATGCAGGTACTGATTATAACGCGTAAGTCGGCCACAATCGCAGCACATGTGTGTCGGGCATGAAAGAAAAAATCCTGACATGCAGGGGGTGGGGACGAAATAAAAAATAATAAAAGTGGTTGAGAGTTATAATGACGGGGTTGATGATTATATTGCGGAGAAAAAAAAAAGTGGAGAGACAATAATTCCCCACCCTCCCTTGTAAAACACTCTGCAGTGATACAAGTAAAACCAACCTCAATTACGACCTCAATTATATTTTCCTGTTATCAATAGAAAAAAAATTATTTCACAATTGCCGGATATATTTAACATAAAATTTTTTCAAATTTATTTTAGCGGTACGGTAAAACGTATTGTTCTTTATTCATACGGATTTATAAGTAACAGTTATAATTTATTTTATCGCGTTTTATTTTAACAACCCAAAATAACGTTTTAGAGACTCATTGAAACCATGATGAAACATTGAAAAATTTAGCTATCTCATGTTTGCAGTATCAAGTGATTTTATGGAATAGAATCCTCGGGTGCAATGGTGAGATGCATAAAACATTGAGATTATGATGTATGATCTTTCATCGAGTTTCAAAGGCTTCCCGTTCTCTCAATATATACTCAGGCTATGATTGATTACCGCTCTATGGTTCTACAAGACCACATAATATCTTCTCTCGAAAAGTATAGTCAGCCTTGAACAAATGTATCAGCAATGAGTTTGATAATTTTCTGTATAAATACACGTGTTATTTTTTTTTATAGATTTTTTACCTTCGCTTTTATGACTTAACGATTACATAAAAAGCAAATGAGTATGTATTACCAGAGAGAGACTTTGTCTTTACTTTTTTATGAATGTTATTAGTTTAGTTTTTTTAGAGCAGTTTGCTGCGTAAAAAAAGAAACTTATGAGCCAAAAAATCGTTACTTAATAATTAAAGTGATCGTCTTCGTAATTGAATTCGTATTGCGTTTGGACAATAATCATGATCTATTATTAGTTCCCATAATTTTGCTGTTACATCACGATTTTCTGATTTTCACTATCAATCTTCCTTCAGAAAAGATTCTATCTTGGCATTTTGACATATTGATGGCAGTTGGATCTTTAATATAAAAGCATAAGATGATAGAGCATATTTTTATATACCAGAAAAAAATTGGAGCGGATATTGAGTGCACATCACAGAAATAAATCTATTTGAAATCAAATTACCTGAAGTAAAAAGTTCCTTCATAAAAATTTTATTTTTCTTTTTAACATATATTAAATTCA